TATATATATATAAAAATGTTTAATAATAAATAATATACATGCAGGAATCCCTCTGCCCATGACAGAAATACAGCTGCCTCTGGGGAGAAATGCAGAAGCTGCTTAACAATGCCCAGCAACAATTCTGGATATTCCTGGGGATTAGGTAGGCGAAATGTAGTTCCTGAAACTAGTATTTTCTGCTTCTGCAGAAAGTGCCATGAAAACTTTTAGTTGGTACAAGTGGCTAGGATCTTAGTTTTATAGCTTACTGGAAAGTAAATTACTTGCTTTTGACAAACAAACCAAATATTTGTAATGACAACAAAGCGGCTCCCGATAGTGTCATGTGGTGGTGGTGGTTCTTGTCTCTGCCTTAGGTGTGTTTTACATGTGAAGTAGAAGCTTTGATGATCTTATGCCTAGATGTTACCCCTGGAGCAATATCTCATAAATCTCCCACCTCTTTGTTATGCATGGTGAGTTGTTTAAATAATTGATTTCTGCAGATTTTGGTCTTCTGCTGATAGGTGTGTGGACACGAGAAACCATTCCTGTAAGGACTTGTTTTGGACCTTTGATTGGGCAGCAAAGCCATTCTCTGGAGGTGGCCGACTGGACAGACAAAGCAGCTAGTCACGTCTGGAAGGTCAGTGGATGTTACGTGTCGTGGAGTCCGCAGACATGCCGTGATCTGGTGAAAGCCACAAAAAGTCAAAATCAATGCAGTTGGGTTGTTTAATACTTAATATCAGCATAGCAGAGCCATGTCCCCGTCATATGCTGGTCATCAGTCCTGAAGTACAAGGAACTTCTTTAATCCCTTTTTTTTAAAGGGCTGTATGTGGGTCCCCATATTTGTGTGGAGCAGACATTGTGTAGGAATTACAAGGCAGATCTTGTTTGTTTTGTGCCGTTGTTTATTGAAAGTTCCCCCAGGTGATGAATGATATGTTTTAGGAAAGCTGCTTTAAAGCTGTCTTTTCCACATCATTTCATGTTCAGAAGGCAGAATTGATCTATATAAATAAAACATGTATTGTTTGCCCAGATATTATTATTCACAAGACATGGCTTGTAAGAAAAGTAGCCAAATACGTTTCTGCTGGGAGCGAAAGGTGGTGTGCGGGGAAGATGCCAATAAACAGTTTTCATAGCCTCCTGGCTAGCAGGGAGGGCAAGATTCCTGTGCAAAGGGGAAAGTGAGGAGTAAGAAAAGGGCTGTGGTCTTGGCAACGGCAATAGAGACCTGGATTGTTCTAGGCAAACACATCCACTCCTTAAAAGAGGAACCTGGCTTTCACTGCTTTGGTTGCTCTGTTCTGTCCTAAGCTTGCATCTGTTTTTCCTGGTAGATCTACCACAACGGTGTCCTGGAGTTCTGCATCATTACAACTGATGAAAATGAATGCAACTGGATGATGTTTGTGCGCAAAGCCAGGTGAGAACCACCTGCACTGTGCTGAGGAGCTTGGATTCTGAGCTGCAGGCTGTGCAGAAGAGCTGCACTGGAGGCCCAGATGGCTAATGAGCTCAGGACCAAGGAACCTTCAGGATTTATGCAGACATCTTGGACTGGTGGAGAGGATGAAACGGAGCACCCAGTGGAGAATGTTACAGGGGAACCAACACACATGCTGTAGTATACCAGCCCCAAACCTGCCCACATACTTTGTTCCCTTGTTCTAAAGCTTTAAATCAGATTATTTTTATATTAGCTTACTGTGTGTTTATTGCTTTCTCTCTCTCTCATTCCTTTTGGATACATCTGTGAAGACAATGTTGATTGTCTTTTTTATTTTAATACTTTGTTAGCAAAGTGTCCCTGGGTTCTTCTGGCCAAGTCCCAGCCTCTTACAGCTCACAAGCGTTGTCTTTTTCAGTCTTTCTGGAGCTTGTGACAGAAACTAGCCAGAGTGGCTTTAGTATTGTTCCCTACATGGTCCACTGAGAAAGCTGAACCTTTCCTATTGCTCTGTGATGTAAAGTTGGTTTCCCTTGTGATTCATTTCATTGCCGCCCATATGCTGGGGTGAAGGAGTTAGTGCTTGATCTCCCAGTGCAGTGGGGCAGAGCTTTTGCAGATTTCAGATACGTTGGAACAAACGTGCAAGGTACAGCTTCAGAAGATGAATTATCACACCTCGGAAATGCTTTTCAAGAGTTATTTTTGAAGATAATTTTGCTTTAAGACTTAACTGATATTTATTTTTCTCTTGTGTTCTCTATTTCTTAAGGGGGTTAATATAAAATAAATACATTTTTGTAGTTTCTTAAGAGATCTCTCAGCCTACTCCAATATCTATTAATAGTTTTCTGAGTGAGATACCGCAGTGGTCTGAAAAATGCATCATTTGTGGAGCAGACTGGCTTTCAAGGTCCAGTTTTCTTTTACTTTCCTTTAATAAAGAAGAACAGAAGTGACAGACATGGAAGTTTTTACAATGTGCTGACAGGCATTGAGGTTCTGTCATTACCTAACTATAAGAACTTTTTTTTCCCCTCTCTCAAGAAGTCATTATTTCTGGAGGGCTTTTTTCCCTGACTGTCATTATTGCTGTAGGAACCGGGAGGAGCAGAATCTGGTCGCTTACCCTCACGATGGAAAGGTTTACTTTTGCACCTCCCGGGACATCCCACCTGAGCAGGAGCTTCTCTTCTACTACAGCCGGGACTACGCGCGGCAGCTCGGTAAGGAACCGCCCGGGCTTTGCAGGGAGCGCCAGCTGGAGCCCCTCCCAGTGCCACCTCTGGGCACTGGGCCTTGGGCGTGCGTTATGTTCCTTCTCAGTTCCTGGTGGTGCACATCATGCTTTCCTTTTACGTTTTGTGACTGCAGAGTGCCATCATTTAAAAGAAACGTCTCGCTATCTAATTCCATTGATGAGGAGTAAAAGATGGCGCTTTCAAAGAAAAAGAGTTGTTTTTCGAATCATAGGATGTGTTGGGTTGGGAGGGATCTCTAAAGGTCATGTAGTCCAACTCCCCTGCTGTAAGCAGGGACATCTCCAGCTAGTTCAAGCTGCTCAGAGCCTTGTCAAGCTTGACCAGGGATGGGGCCTCCACCACCTCTCTGGGCAACCCATCCAGTGATCTGTCACCCTCATATTGAAGAACCTTTTCCTAACATCTAACCTAGATCTACCCTTTACTAATGGCTTAAAGCCATTACCCCTCGTCCTGTCACTACAAACCCTTGTGAATAATCCCTCCTCTGCTTTCTTGTAGGCCCTTTTCAGATCCTGGGAGGTTGCTATAAGGTCCCCCTGGAGCCTTCTCTTCTCCAGGCTGAGCAACCCCAACTCTCAGCCTGTCTTCACAGGAGAGGTGCTCCAGCCCTCTAATAATTTTTGTGACTCTCCTCTGGACCCACTCCAAAAGGTCCACGTCCTTGTGTTGTTTGGCTAGCTGAAGATGTTCCTGTCCTCCCCAACCTGTGCTTGTGGTAATTAAGGTTTGGTAGAGCTGTGCTAAAAACCCTAACCCAAAGGTTGGCCCCCCAGAACACTTGGGATGGCCTGGGTGAAAATCTCTGCAGCTGGCTGTGCTGCCACAGAGGAAGCACTGACGTGGATCACGCTCTGGCAGCCTTGCTGTGCCTCACTGAGAGCGATGCTTTTGTCCCCAAAGGTGTCCCCGATCATCCGGACGTGCACATCTGCCACTGTGGAAAGGAATGCGCTTCCTACGCGGACTTCAAGGCCCATCTGAGCAGCCATATTCACAACCACCTCCCCAGCCAGGGCCACAGCAGCAGCCACGGGCCTGGCCACGGCAAGGAGAGGAAGTGGAAGTGCTCCATGTGCCCCCAGGCTTTCATCTCCCCTTCCAAGCTCCACGTCCACTTCATGGGGCACATGGGCATGAAGCCACACAAGTGTGATTTCTGTAGCAAAGCTTTCAGTGATCCTAGCAACTTACGGACACACCTCAAGATACACACAGGTAAGGGTTGGGGACTTTATAGAGATGCCTGTGCTCATAAAATGTTGGGGCAGGACCTGTTCTCTTGGATACCTTGACCACTTTGCAGGGCATAGTTTGTGTCCATAAACCTAAGCTCTTAAGAAGAAGAGAACCGTAGAATAGTTTGGGTTGAAAGGGGCCTTCAAAGGTCATTAGTCCCACCCTCCTGCCCACGGGCAGGGTTTTGCTAGGTCACGCCACTTAAAGCCCCATCCAACCTGACCTTTAATGCTTCCAATGATGGGGCATCCACAACTTCCCTGGGCAGCCTGCTCCAGTGCCTTACCACCCTCATTGTGAAAAATTTTCTTGTTTGTATCCAATCCAAATCTACCCTTTTTCAGTTTGAAACCATTGCCCATTGTTCTGTCATGACTGGCTTTGGTAGAAAGTCTCTCTTTATCTTCCTTATAAGCTCCCTTTAAGCACTGAAAGGCCACAATAAGGTCTCCTTGGAGCCTTCTCTTCTCCAGGCTGAACAACCACAACTCTCTCAGCCTGTCCTCATAGGAGAGGAGTTCCTCCCTCAACCTATGTTTCTAAGAATTCCAGCATCCTGTCTGTCTGTAGGAATGACCTGTAGTTCACGCTGACCCCAACTAATGCCTGGGCAATACCTGAGAGAGAGCTGGTTGGCATTGGGTAGGACTGTGCTGGCTTCAGTGGTGTGGGTGCCTAAAGAACAGCATACAGAACTGTGTGTTCTGGCAGATTGTGCCATGTCTAAAAGAGCATTTGATGAGTTGAAGTTGATTAGAGTTGGGAAGATGTGTTGGCCTTTGTCTGGGAGACTTTAGAAACACTTTGTTCCCACACAGCAGATCCAGTGCTGGCAGCTATGATAAAACAGGGGTTTCCTTCTGCTCATAAGAAAAAGCCAGCTGAGTTTGAGAGGTTGTAATGTGGACAGTTGTGAGATGTTTTTCCCTCTTTCCTACTTTAATTGTTTTCCATATTAAGGAAGTGGCACCTGTCTGACATGGGTGACTGTGGGGTCAGACTGCTGTGGATGTGGCTCAGCTCTGTCACTCATCAAAACTTAAGCCTGAACGTGCTGTGGACTTCTGTGGGCATTTGGACATCACTAGAGGCTTTGGGTACAAAGGAAGAATTGTCAGCAGATCAGTGAACGAGCGCTAAAAGAGGGAAAATGAAAGAGTGAAGGATTTTCCAGCTGTGTAAGAAGAGAGGAAGGATGGAAAGGCACGGGTGTGACAGAGAGCAAGGACAGGGGAGAGGGTGAAGGTCGGGTACAGGCCAGCTATCGACAGCGAAGACATTTTTACCTTTTTTTCCAGTAATGTTGAAATCGCTATTGGGAATCACAGAATGCAAATCACAAAGCTGGAGAGGGACTAAAACTGGGACTTCAGTGTGCTCAAGTGTAGGAAGCTGTGGGCTTAGTAGTAAAGAGTTTTAATAAAACTGATGGAGTACAACCGTGGTGCAGAAAACGTGACCACAGAACACTCGGTGGGGCAGGGAGTCAAGTAGTGGTATTCAAACTCAGCCTGAATTCAGCAGTGTGCAGGGGCTTTGAACTATTTTCAGCAAAGAATAATGGAAGAACTACAGATAAGTGGAAAAATGGGGCGAAACATAGAAGTAAGCAAGGAGCCAGTGAGCTTTGCACCTGTGTGTTTGTTAGATAAGAGAATTTGTTCTTCTAGACAAAGGCAATGCAGTGCATCACATGTGGTTGGGCGCCAGTGAGCCATCAGATACAGTTCCTCTGGGAAATGAGTGGGGATGGGGGTGTTCTAACGTACAGTGACTAGATGGCTACCATGGCAACTATCAAAAAGGAGGCTACTATTATTTTTACTCAAGAATTCATCTTGGATGAGCCTAGCTGTGTTAAGTGTTTGCCTGCATCTCTTTACTGGAAAATTTACAAGTCTGTCTGTGATGTTTTGATACGCCAAACGGGGAGGCATAGTTGCTGTAGGCAAGGAGAAAGTCTGTCGTACAGGAAAGGCTGGTGGACCACTGGCACTGGAGAAAGAGGAATCAGTGGTGTTTAGAAGGACAAAGTGCAGAACTATGCATCATATGTATGGCTCAGTGGTTTGAAACAGTAGCATGGAGTGGGGTTTTTTTTGGCTTGGGGGCAGGGGGTGAGTGATGAAAAGATTTGGGAATGATGAAGTCAGATGCCTGGGTTTTGCATAGCTAAATCCAGACTGTAACTAGGTAGGCCTTTATGCTCGGTCTGGAGGAACAGCAGGAAGGAACGTGTCCTGTTCACAAGGAATCTGCCTTTCTTTGGGGTGTAAAATTTTATTTTTCAGAGATGGTCAGGCTCACTTGCTTATTGTATTTCTTGGGACACTGACTGTCGATTTGTGGGTGCACGTGTGTACCCTAGGTCAGAAGAACTACCGCTGCACCCTCTGCGACAAGTCGTTCACCCAGAAGGCTCACCTGGAGTCGCACATGGTCATCCACACGGGGGAGAAGAACCTGAAGTGCGATTACTGTGAGAAGCTCTTCATGCGGCGGCAGGACCTCAAGCAGCACGTGCTCACTCACACGCAGTAAGTGAGCTCCAGGGGAGTAAACACTGAAGCTCAACAGCCCGAGAGAGAATCTCCGGTTCGCAAATAGTTTGGCCTACAGGTTATAGGGTCATCCTCTAAAATGACAGAGAAACCAACCTGGAAAAATTCCTTGTTCCTGGCTGAAGTTGTCCCAGTCTAGTGTTTGCAGTATTTTAATGACACGGTAAATTCCAGGCACACGCCTTGTCCTGTGAAATGGCGTTCTGGTTAGCTGATTTACTAAGCTGAGAGGACTTTTTCCATGCCCCAACACGTCTTTGAAAAATCGTAACACTCCTCAGTGCTACTCTCACTGAATAGCTTGTTTGTGAAGTCTCCCTCCTGGTTTGTGCCAGGGTGGGGTGCAGCTATTCCCAGCTCTTACCTTCCCCCAGGTCTCCTTCACGCACGTGGTCTCCTGCTCCTCCTGCAGCACCAATCCCTACCCTCCAGTCCTCCTCCAGTTAATAATAGGTCTCTCCCAGCCCCTCAGTCCTCTGCCAGGCCAGATATTTATTGTTGCTGTGAGAATCTCTCCGTCCTGTTTAGTTACCCTCAGTCCAAGATCCTCCTTTAAAGGCTGCTTCCCCAAAGCAAGTCCTTCTACTTATTTTGTTATCAGCATCTAGTTCTTCTACTCACATGGACTCAATTGCTGCTTCTGTTGTGCTGCCTAGGAGACAGCATAGTGCAGCTAGCATAAGCAAGAGGGGCAGGCAGGCAGGCAGGCAGGCTTGCTTTGCTGCTTGTTCTTACGGCCAGAGCGCCAGGAGCACAACTACTGGGAGGTGTTTTGCACAGTCATCTACAAAATTTGACTGTGCAGGTTTGTGAATACTCAGCAGCAGCTTTAATTTTCTTGGTTTTTTTGGTCCCCTGTTTATGCAGGGTGGGAAGGAGGGAGACTGCCCTTGCCAAAAAACTTAGTTAACCAGAGTCTTGCCCCCAAAATAAACAAACACCTCCCCCTTGTAGAATTCTTCCTGCTTTAATTTATTATAAGGAAGGAAAAACAGTTGGTTATAAGCCAGCAGTTAATCCAAAAAGCCAGACTTTTGCAAGTGATGTTGCAGGGAGGAGCAGAGAAGGGCTTTGTGTACCTGCCCTGTGAAAGAAAGCAGCAGTATTTACACTTCAGGGCTACAGTATGTCTGTTACTTCTGGTCTGCTTCTCCTTCAAGTATATATTGAAAAAGTTAGGCGTAAGACTGACCCTTTCACCCTTCCTGTCACCCCCCCCACACTATTTAATACAGTATCAGCTGCCTTAAACTGTAACTTTCTCATGTCTTGCAGAGAACGGCAGATCAAGTGTCCCAAGTGTGACAAGCTGTTTTTGAGGACGAATCACCTGAAGAAGCATCTCAATTCACATGAAGGAAAGAGGGACTACATCTGTGAAAAATGTTCCAAGGCTTATCTAACCAAATATCACCTCACTCGCCACTTAAAAATATGTAAAGGCCCCACGTCCAGCCTGTCAGCCCCAGAGGAGGAAGAGGAGGAAGATTCAGAGGAGGAATTAATAGATTCCGTGAGAACTGAAGACTGTAGGATTAACAATGGTGTCTATTCAACAGGTGATGCCCTCTCTGGACACAAATGAAGGGAAGAAAGAAGGAAATTTTCTTGGATGTTAAACGAGGGGAAGGAAAACCCAAACTCTTGTTTCCCCAGTCAGCAGCATATGTCGAGTGGAGTTCCCCTTCTGTTTTGGTCACTGCGCTACCACTGCTTAACAAACTCTGTAGCCAAAACACTGAACGAGAGTGGATCGTGCACATAGAAGTGAAGTGTTCCTAAGGACATACAAGGCAAGCAGATTTTTTTTCACTCACACTGTGCATTCTTGTTTTCCAAATCACTCAGATTAATCCATCCAGTGCTGGGATATATGACACACCTTGCATAGCCCTTTGAGTGAAGAGCCACAACCAGAAGTGTAGTTGAGTGATCGCAGTGAGCTGTAGGCCAACTCTCCTTAACTGCCAAAGCTGTGACAGTAAAAGACAGGAAAAAAAAAAAAAATGGTGGTGCCAGTTGATGCAATATTTCTTTTTAATTTTTAACTGAAGGATGTAGTTTGGCACAGAACAAAGACTGCCAGCAATCAGGCTTCCTTCTAAAATAATACTCAAAAAGCTTTGGGTGAGGAAAAAAAAACAAAAAACTGAGAAAAAAACACAACAACAAACCACCAGCAAGATCAGCATTTGCAGACAAAGCAATTACCCCACTACAGAAAATCAAATACTGGCTTTTGGAGAACAGTTATTGTCTCTTCTGGCTCCAGTTCACTGGAACATGTAAGCAGGTGAAGAGGTAAAGACTGTGCAAGTGCAGTAAGGCAGAGGCTTGCAGATAGTCAGTGTTTACAGTCTGTATTACATCATGTGCTGTAAACCTTTTGCCACCTAGAGTGATGGGAGGGTTTGCTGCTAATATTTATGGAATGAAGATGTATTTCATTCTGTTTTCTTTTTAAAAAAAATAAAAATGTGGCTCTTTTCTAATGTTCTTTTTTAATATTTACACATTCCGGAAGAAAGCTTCCTGTTTCTGCTAATCATGCCAAGAGAAATAACACCACTTTTTCATCGTGCCACTCAAAGTGAGAAAGTGTGGGTAGGAGCACCTCCATAAAGAGGCACATCTAAGAACTTGTCTTTAAACCTTGCAAGCCTTACTGTGTGGCTCCTGTGGCTGCACTGCAAGAGAACAGCAAGCTGAGGTTGCTGTTGGAGGTTCCCTTATGGCAGAGGCTCCAGTTCCTCCCCTGAATGACCCCAGTTTAGCTGTGTCTCTCCTAAGCTGAGCTCCCTGGGTTCTTCAAACTTTCAAATACAAAATGCTTGCCCTCTGACATCAGCGTGTGGCTAAAAAGTTCCAGAAAGACAGGTTGAGGGGTTCTTATTTAGTCAAGGGAAAAATGTGTGGCTTGCAGTAACACAATTTCTTCCTAAAACAAAGCAACTTCTCAAACTACATTGGCAATTAATACCAGCGATAACAGAAATCACTAACCTCCAAGAGCTTAACAGGAAGCATTTATTTCAAATGAAAGCTTTTAAAAGCAGCTTTTCAGTGGAGAGCACTTGAGCAGAGGTGGTGCTGGTGTTTTCACCTTCTGGAGCTTCACAAAAGCAGTTGTTCATTTGTCATTCACACATTGTTCGGTATTGCTTGGCAGAGAAAGGACTGAGCCAGGAATGGCAACACACCCAAAATACTGGTTCCTGCAGAGCCATTCGAAACCCCTGTCACCAGACTGGAAACAGCTGCAGAGGATTGAGAAGCAGCCGCTTGAAGGGATGGGAAGAAAACCCACAGCCCTGCCTGCTCCCTGTCTGCAGTTTGGAGTGGTACAAAGTATTTGCTTTACCTCAGCAGAAAGCGATAGTTACAGTGTGGTAGGGTGCCAAGCAGTGGCAAGATCTTGTCAACCACATGTACTGGCACTACAACTCACTCCTCTGGTACCAGTTGCATTTTGGCAGCAGCAGCACTTTAACAGACACCTTCCAGTGTGCAGACAGGGAAGCACTTCACGGGAGAAAAGTATCATCTAACTGCTGGCCTGGGGTAAGGCACTTGAGTGCATTTAAATGTGAGGAAGTTTTGTGGGTCACATTGCTTGATTAGGTTCCTGATGCTATAAAGGAAGCATTTGTCAGCGGTTAGGCTGACACAATGTTCCTTTGTGTCTTCCTATGTCTGGCAGAAATGCTTGGGAGGAGTTAAGAACTTGAATATGTAACAGCTTTCACCAGTGTCAGTGACCAGCTAAGATCCACACCTTCCCTTTGGGTCCTGACAGCCTCTCATCCTCTGAGTGGTAGCTCCTTATTTCAGTTCAAATTCTCTTTATATATATATATATATATATATAATGTTTGGAGCTTGAAGAAAACCCAATACACAGGCAACATCAATAAGCTCCCAGTGCTGTGGAACCAGGGATGGGAAACCCTTGATCTTGATGGGATATTTCTGTTTTGATACTGGCAATCTCAGGTGTTACAGATTCTACTGAGAAACTCCACTTGCTGCCCAAGAAATACTCTTAAGACTTAAACTACACAGAAGAACTTTTAAAATCTATCAGAAATCTGTACATCTAGCCTCAAATCAAGGAGCAGTTGTCTGTTTTCCACTTGTCACTTCCTTCTGCTTTTATTACACAACTGTTGTCTGAAGTATTTTTTCTTTTGCCTTCAGAAGATCTTTATCTTCTTTTCAGTATTCCACAAACTGCCCTTAACAGCAGAATGCTTTTTTAGTGACCGTTTCATTTTATGTATCAACTTGCCACATAGTAGCCTCTGTTTCAGGGATCATAATCTCAGGCAAAAGCAAGCGATTTCATGTTTCCAAGCCAGCAACAGAGGCAGAACGTAGAACTTCTGACTTGGTGCTTAACCACATCACCACGTTGCTTTGTCCGAGATGAAGAGGCTGCAGAGTGCAAGATGTTCAAGCGATTTCTATGAACTCTCACCAAACAGGGGTTGGTAGAACACACATTAATTACGTTAATTACTTTGATTTTATTCATGTTTGGTCCATCATGATTCCATTGCTGTCTCCAAATCGTTGCTGCTACTGCCTGCTGTGGAGCTGGACGCCACAGAGCTCGCAGCAGCCATAACATGTCTCTCTCTGTTTCCAAAAACTTCATTCACTGCAACACAGATAGGAGATGACTTACACGTTACTGTTCCAGAGACAAGAGAAGTAGAGCAGGCAAGCATCATGGAATGGAAATCCTAGCCTGGTGCAGTGTCGATGCCTCTCCCTTTATCCACAGCAAGGAGTTGAAGCTTACGTGTCAGAACAGCCTCCCACAAGTGACACTTAAATTGCAAGTCCTGCTGTTTCTCCCCCAGAGCATCTCTTGAGGTTTCCCTGTGTGTAATTCTTGTACCTAAGCGCTGTCAAATGGATGTGTTTTGCAGAGCAAAACATTAAGTTTAAATAATTTATTTCTGGTTTTACTCTCTCTGGTTTCCACCATGCTCTTAAAAGCCTTCTCCAAAAATTCATGCCATTTAGTTGCATGTAGCTACAACAACAACTGATCAAAACCAGTCCTCATTTTCATTCCTACAAGTACTTAAAAATGTGATATTTCATTACACCAGGAACATCAGGAAAAAAACCTAAAACATAAGTATTGTACGAAATCAGGTATTACACTTCAGCTAGGAGAAAATAAATCCTGTAGTGAACACAGTTCCCCAGGTTAGAAAAGAATTCCACATTTTTTGAAGCTGAAAACATGAACACGTGCAGTCTTAAGATACTTAAAAACATTAACTCACAGTTTCTCTCAGAGCCACGTTACTGAATATACAAACACACTCTGGGGGAAGGAAAAAAACACAAGCCTCAAATAAATGAGAACGTTACCTGCAGAAATCTTGCTTATATCCCAGACACGCAGCCCTTCTCGCTCTCCTCCAAAGGCAAAAACAAAGGGGAAGTCGGGGCAGCAAGCTGCACAGAAGAGAACACCCTGGGAAGGTGGCAGGGAGGGAGGAAGAAGATTTAAAAAAACTATTAGTCCTAAAATAAATCTGAAAGTACTTTCACCAAGCAGGTTTTAACAAATGTAAGCTCTCCAAGTTTCCTTTTGTAAAGACTCCAAATTAGAGTCAAGAGCTGCTAGTTACAAACACTAAATCACATCTTTATCCTGAACCTGGCAGATCCGCTCGGAGCATTGTATCTGGTATTCAGGTCTGAGGCTCTGCAGCAGTCTGCCAAGCACACATTGAATGAACGCTGCACTGGAATGAGAATTATATACCCAAAACAGACAGATGCAATTATTTTTCTCCTAAAAGATGTTATGTTAGGTAGAACAAAATTTAGAGGGAAAAAAGCACTAGATAAAAAGAATTAGGCAGACACAGCTTATACATAGATCTTCTTGGGATAAAGAGATTAGTATTACTCTACCATTTTCATATCCCTGGAATGGATTAAACTTGGTCTGTCTCCCAGGATATCCCAAATTTTCACATATTTGTCAGCAGATGATGTCACAAGGCACCCTTTGATCTGGCTGCTTAGTTGTAGCCCTGAAAGATCAAGAGTGCAGCAGGATGAGTGCACCATGCAATCACTGGTTCACAGAGATGGGGACACATTTTGAAGCAGTCAAGAGAACAAAACAAGTATTTTCCTCACACTCAACCGTGTTCCAGCACAAAAAAGCAAAACAGTAACAAAAGTTTTGTGTTGCCATCGCTTCATTGTAGGGAGAGCAAACTGACTTCATGGAGGCCTATTTTGTCTCTTGATCCAGCAATAGTAACAATGTGAAGATTCTGTTGTCCTGCTTCTTCCTCCGCTCAATCTGGCTTTCCCAGATAGTTTTCTTAATTTGTTTGCCAAAGACAAACTTTCGCTATTCAGGACTATGGGACACATTCATGTCATCTCATTTTGGATATCAATGCAGGTGCTTCAAGTTGCTTTTTAGAAGCCCCTACCCTGATCAAATAATTAAAGTAGCCTAAAGGAGGCAGCATGAAAACCTTCCCATGTGCCATACCTAAATCATCTCCAGAGTGAATGTCACAGGGTAAAGGTTACAGTTCACAGTCCCGGACCAGTTGACATAGTTTTTGTTCTGCCTCATCCAAAAAAACACAGGGAGGGTGTCTCAAGTGAACAGACCTGTTCTGACACACTTTATTCACGACATTGACTGCTCACCCTTGTTAAAATACTTTGCTTACAACGGCTTCTCAGCAGGGATTTGTTTCATGCACCAGCTACCCGTCATTAGCATGCACCACTCTTAATTGTTAAGGAAGGAATCACATCAGGCCTATTGGTTAAAGACATCTTCCAGAGGTGCGGTGCCCCTGGAGACAAACCCAACACACACAATTTACCTGACACCTCTTCATCATGAGCTTTCAGAGTAAACAAGGGCTTATCAGAACGAGCATCCAGACAGTACACAAAGCCATCCTCGGTGCTTGCCTAAGGGAAACACAACAGTTTAGTAACAAACAGCCCTAGTCACTCATTTGGGGAAAAGCTCTTAAGAAATAACATCCACCCTCTAGTAAATCCCTGTGATTTGAGAAAGACTTACACTGCTTCCCGGTGGGGCATGTTACACAGTGTACATAGGTGTGCATCCCCAAGCCAGGCTCCAGCCAGCTGGTGCCTGAACTACTCTATGTTCCTACGTTGGCAGCAGTGACTTATACGGAAGTCTTAATCCTATATACATTTCTTTAACTGTATTTGGAAGATGGTTGCACTACAAAGCTTGGCTCTCAGGTTAGGCAATGAAATACAGAGCTTTTAGTCTCTTAGTTGTCCATTCAGGGTTTTTGGAGCCATCCAGTGACTACATAATAGCCCATAATAGCAAAGCTAAGCATGATTATAGTGAAGGAGATCTACATCAGAAATGGAACTCAGGAACTGCTTTTGTTGGCTGTATACATAAAGCAACAAATGGGACCAGATGGTCATTGAGACAACAAAAAAGATTTGTTTTTAAAGGCTTTATTATAAGAAACTTGACAAAAGCATGACATTTTTACTTGATACCAGCCAGGAGGACAGTGCCTTCTAGTGCTCATTTGAAACACTGAATTAAAACTCAGGTTCTTGGTTCTAATTAGCTACCTCTCATCTGCAATTGCCTACAATACATGAAACACAACAGCAACTATGCAAGGGAAAATAGATCCCAGCCACTGACCACTGTAACAACACTGCAAAGATGCCACCTCTGGAGTGAAAAAGCATCAGCATCAATTGCTTTTCTACCGTCATAACAAAGACACCAAGTATCTGTTCTCGATATACTTCTTGAAAAAAACTACCTAAAATCCTCCTCCCATGCACTGTATTTTTAAAATAAACAATGCCACCAGTCCAGTTATCCTTCAGTGCCATTCAACGATTCAGAAACTCTACAAACACAAAAATATAGGTTAAATGAAACGGCAACAATCCACAGATCAAGAAAAGAGCAGCGGGTACTCACTAAAAAATTACAAGGTGAAAAATGGTTCCAAATCACTCTTTCAACCTGACCACTAAACCGCCACACTCGATGGTTCTCTTGTGGGTTTCTGCAGTCATACAGCACAGCTGATCTAGGGGAAAAAGGGATAAGAAATAAAAATAATTTTAAAAAAAAATCAAGGCAGAACACTTTATGAATTTTGTTTTTCCACTGGCATCTATAGAAGGTCCATGTAAACTCCAATTCAACAATTAAAATGGAAACAACATCACTATTCAGTCTCCAAACTCAGTAACAGATGGAAATTGCTCAGATAAGCACAAGCTTTTTCCATATGCTTCAAAGTTCCATCTTGGTTACAGTTGTTCTATTGAAACTGAGGAAATGAGCTTGAATTTACTCATAACATACTTACCATATAGGAGACCATAATTATGCAAATATATCACTTAACTAGGAACAGAATTCAGTAGTCAAGTAATAACTCTTCAAATAATGCACTAATTAGGAAATCCATCTATGAAACATACACAACCATTTTCAATTACGCTTTAATAAAAATAAATTAAAAATTATTCTTTACAAGTGGTTAGGGAAATACTACTCCAAAAAGGAAGAAGAGCAGATGAGAGTTAGTGGGTCCTCAGGGATTCTTTATAGGCACGTACTCAGCCCCGTGGCAGCAGAATCTGTCCCAACCCAAAAAGCTTCTGGATGCAAATGCAAGAAAGAAGTGATGATGTCACTCTTGCAACATCTCACCGCAATTTACATCCACAGTGTAACCCACTCCCACTCTATCCTATAATTAAAGCCAAAGAAATGTGACCTAGATTTCTCAGCTCTTCTACCAGCCATTTGACAACAACAGTTTCAGTACCTATGGGGTGTTTAACAGCCTGACTTTTCAGGTTATGAAGGCTTTTGCCAATATTCATCAAATAGCCTGTGGTCCTGTGAGGCTTTACAGGAAAAATCCACCAAGGCACCAAGTTTATAGCCAGCACACAGGTTTACAGGTGTCCATGGTATCAAAAGGATCAGGCAGCTGGTCTCGGTGTTTGGACCTGCCTCTTCTCTTTACCAAAGGAAGCCAAGGGGGAGGGCAGCAGACAGAACCAGGTTCCTAACAACAGTAAAAGGTTTTTCTCCAATACTGCCACTTAAGCAGATGTAGCAAGACCATAAGAGAAACCACAGAACATAAAGGCTTGGCTAAAAACTGACAAGTCTACAAATACTTCAACACAAGGACAAAGTCTTAAAAGCGGAAGAAGAAAATCAATATAAGAAAATCATGTTTATAGAAAAAAAAAAATTGAAAGTTACCCGTATGAGATGGGAGAACAGAAGGGAAGTTTTTTGTCTGGCAGGGCTTATAAGAACTGGCAGGTACAGAGCCAGTCTAAGTGTGCAGACACAAACCATTTCACAGCATCTCCAGGCTGCAGTCACAGGACAGCCCAGTGCAGAAAATGCCATAAGGCCAAATGAAGAAATAAATTCAGTTTGGAGCAGGCACCTGGCAGAAAATGTCAGTCCAGATGGTTAAAGGATTTGGCTAGTCCTGAGAAAGCGGTGAGGAAAACTGCATTTTGGCCACATCCAAACCTGGCTACCTTGCTGGAAAAAAATAGTGTTACTCAGGTTTGGCATGGTTACACACAAATGATAAGAAAACATGAGGCAACTTAGCAGGGTTAATTCAACGCTAACACCCTCCCCACACGTAACATCTGAAAATATTACCCTGACATACTTATCATAAGATCCAGAAATAAGGGTCTGAGTTTCAAACGGATGAAATTGCAGTGTCTGGACCTAGATAACAGAAGATATTATTTTAAAAATAAGCACTGAGATATAAACATATACATACAGGAACTTTCTTTGAACAGAGCACAACCCCTCCTCCCCAAAACCAGCACATTTCCCACCAAAAAACCCTCCGATTAAGCTTTTCAATACTCAGATTTCTCATAAAACATTGCAAGAGATGCACAATATTTTTATTTCAAACTCCCCCAGCCAATGGAAACAAGGTATTTTCCAATATAATTTAACTGAAGGGAACCACATGTCCCCTTTGTGCCCCACATATTTAATGATAAAAAAAATGCTGGAGGTAAAAGAATAGCTACTTCCAGCATGGGGAAAAATGCAGAAGTTAGCAAAAAAACAAAAATCAGGAGTTTGCCAAGGGCAGTGACTTTGATAAGAGTAAAATAAGGTTATAACTATTAATGACTAACTTTCACATTTTAATTACTATGCAATAAATTAATTTCTGAAGCACCCACCCATCACTACGGTACTTTAGTATAATTTATCTTAGACCTTTCTTACCTAGAACAAACTGTAACCAACACTCATTGTTTCCTTAAGAGAGAGATTTACAGTTTGACCTATGCTCAGAGATCTACTTTTCTAGCTTGTACCAGCACTGTTAGATTCCCAGCCATCAGGATTTTCACACAAAAGGCATTGTAAAAACTGCTGTAAATCTTCTCAAACTTTCCAAAGGCTAAACAGCATTTTTAAAAGGAAATACAGCATGGCTCTCAAAAGCAACTAATTCAGAAATTTAAGTATTTCTGCACAGCTGTTAGAAAATTAGAGTTGTTTTTCTAAGAGTTCACTACCAAGCAGCTAATGAAAAACTGCAGTTATTTTCCTCTGTATTTTATAGTGGAAGAAACACAGTAATTACTACACACCTTGTCTGTATGTAGCATCAAGCTGGCTGCTGGCTTGCCCACAGACATATCCCACAAAATCACAGTATTGTCAGCAGAGGCACTTGCTAAAACATTCCTGAGAAATGAGACAAAAAAGTTAAAAAAAATCTTTTTACAGATGCAAATAAATAACGGTCAAAAATGCAAAATACAGATGAGAGGCTGATTCTGAGATCAAGCACACTTTGGTGTACAGACTATATATCTCATAGCCCGAGGGATAACTCCCTCCAGGTAACACTAAGTTACAAGTAAAGGCTACAAACAGACAACATTACGCTACACTAGTACAACACTTACAACAACATTGACAGTTTTCCCTGTATTCACCCCCTAACAACACTTAAAATATCATTTACTGGAAGATTTCTCAACCAAAAGAAAGCAAGAAAGACTTTTAAACACTTCCTTTACTTTGACATTAAGAGAGTATTTTTAAACATTGCCTATGCAGCTTGGCTCTGTTTGCATATGCACACAGCCAAGAGCCAGACAAATCTGTTTTTAAAATATTTTGCTCTCTAATATCTGAGTGTTTATATACCTGCTGAAGACCCAACACTGTACACCCTTCACAGAACACAGAAAGAAACCACTAAGGTTTTAGTTTACAGACTTCACATTTCAACTTATATTTGACCATGTTAAGAGCAACAAACACAGTTTAGAAGTTTAATCAGAAAAAAATCAAAAACATACCCAAAGGCCTGTCAAATACACTGTACAGTTTCTACCACTGATCTTAAAAACAGATCCATTAGCTCAAAATGTTGTTTCTGACTGAAACTACTCCCCCCTCACATTGTTCTGTCTCTATTAACAAAGTGTTTCTGATGGAAAGAGCAACGTTCTCCTGGAAACATGTTCTCCCAAACAGCGTTACAAGGGAATATCTTACACTAACACCATTATGACCTACAGGCAGGAAGTTATTTATTTACAGGGAGCTGTCACAGCATGCTTTGCTTAAAACAACAAACAACATCAAACCATTTAAATGTAAGCTGCTGCAAAGAGTTCCTTGTTTTGCCCCTAAGCTTCCCACTACAAGGCTGGTTTTGTTTCTTGAAAGATCGACCCGTATCAATGAGTTCATAACTCAGCACGTTACAGAGTTATGCATTCCAGATACTTAACAGTCACAGGTCTGATTTTTGTGACTTGCCTCTGTATTATCAGCAGACAATCACTTCTAGGTACATGAAAGCTACTCCTTTGTACGACTGATGGAATGATCTCTACCACATTCTGTGCAATACCTGTATAATTTAAGAACAATAGGCAGCGCACTGTAAATTAAGAGGGCAATTTATGTACATTTACTGCACGTCTGTGGGGGCGTTTCCTTCTTCAGCATCTAGATAACAAAGCATTACAACTGAAGGCTTCCACCTACTCCTCAGGAGCATGCAGAGTTTACTGTCTGTCTCTTCCGAGGCAGTTATGACAGCAAGGAAAAAAAAAAAAAAAACAACGCCACAAAAAACCAAGCCTGTGTCTGACTGGAACAGTTTCAAAGCTGGTGCTGAGGATCCTCTGACAGCTGAACTGTTAACAACCAGCCAAGTCACAAAAAATGGCAGGACCTTTATTTCAGTCAGCACATTGTCCTTGACCTCTCCCCCAGGATGGGCCAGCTTTGTGTTCCTTCCATAGCACGACTTCATTCAGAGTTCACGCAGGCAACAGGGAATTCTCTCTGCTTAGGATAACCCGAAGGTCAGAGGCATTTCTGCCCCCGTGCTATGAGGACTTTTACACTCTCTTGTTTTGTTCACAGCTCTGGGCCAAAAGCCAGAGGGAAAAAAACACAGCATAACAAGGACTTCCTTCTATAAACCTACTTTCTATCTGTTGAAATGGTGTTTTAGATCATTGGCAGATAGGCAGAGATCAGGGCAGCCCTTCTGCTTCTCCAATTTGTGCATCTGACTTAAATGTTTATTTAAACTTTAAAAAACATTTATATTAAACTTTAAAAGTTTATCAAATGGCTTGGACCCACCTTAGCCCTGCCCTCATCTGGACAATCTCAAAATAAGAAGTGACCTTCAGTAATACATGCATTTAAAAATAAATTAAAAAAAGAGTAAATCAAGACTTCTAGTTAAAAAAATATAGGTGGGGTTATTTCTGAGCATCGATTCATTTCAGTTTGCTTTCAAGTTGAATGTTACATTACATAAGATTTTGAATTTGTGTGAAAAATGTATGCCTAACGAAGTATGCAAATTTGTGCTCATCCTCTGTTACTCAAGTATTCTTTTACCTGCTTTGTTTATTCCATGAAAGATCAAGCACAGCATCAGTATGTCCTTTCGCTGTCCCTTCTGAAGATAAACTCTGTGTATGCAGATACAACACAAACAGACTTTTGAAAATTACAGCTTTGATGGAAATCAAGCACTATAACATATTAATGCCTTCACAAAGAACTTCATATTTTAAATTATTCTCATTGGCTGCAGCAAGGTTTTTGATAGAACTGCTTTTGCAGCACCTGCACCCTGCTTCCCACCCCAGGTCTCAGACTGCTCCATTCACAGCTGGTGGGTTTACAGAACTGGCTTCTTCTACTAGCCTGAAGGGTGTAATTTTATTGTCTCCAGCTAATGTGCAGCTTCTTCAGCTTCTTTCTCAACTCTCCTGGCAGTTCCCTCTCTCTACTCCAAATTAACTGAGCTTTAGGTCCTTGTTACTGCCAGCTCTCACAAATTCTAATTTAAAATGGTTAAGTTTCAAAGTTTACTGGGACAGCAACTGGAAATCATCCATAAGCCACTCCATTCCTCTTCTGTTCTTAATTCCTGGAGGCTTTAATTCTCCACACAGAGAACAATTAGCATTTCAGATTGAGGTAATATTCCACAGCAATTCTGATAACTTAGTTTTCCAGAAGCAAGTTTCAGAAGCAAGTTACACAGAACAAATTCCCCTTCCAAGGATATTTTTTTCTATTGTTCCTCAGTCATCTTCTTGTTACTTAAGGTTTTCTCCTAGTCCATTAAAAGAAATTCAGCCATTCTCTGAGTCTGCCTCTACTCATTCACATTAGGCAATCTCAACAACTAGCTTAAAATACATTTAAATTTTAGATAGATAAAGCTTACAGAACTGAATCCTGAGTAAATGTATTTTATTAGTTTCAACCTTGTCCTTTGGTGCTCAATGCCTTTTCAAATCTGAGTGACAGAAAAATACCAACTTTAACCTATCACAGATGACCACGACACTATCTTCTGTAACCTGTCTAAACATCATCTTTCAACATGAAAAAATGACATTAAACCAGATTATAGATAATTTTTTCATCGTACAAAAAAATGTAGCAACAATATTATCCTTCCTCTAAGTTTCCTCCACCCAATCAGATAAGCCATTTTGCAATACTTACTTTCTTTCCTTTCTTTTTCTTCTTTTTCTCTGTCTTGCCTCCAAGAGAAAACACTGGTTCCAAGGATTCTACTATATCAAGGTCCCAAATGTCAATAACTGGGGTCATGTTCCCCACTGCAACATAATTTCCTAAAAGCAGAAACCCAAATGCAACCGCATTTACTTAGAGTTACAAGACAGCATATTTGGCAATCCAGCTGTTGCTTATTTAAGTAAAACTCATGTGCCAGAACCTTCTGTTTGAATATATTTGATGTTTATAATTGACAAGAAGCAGTTTAAAAATAAACTGACAGCAGATGTTGCCAGAAAAAAAAAAAAAAAATTTGCTTGCGCTCAAATATTCTTCCCCTTCAGTACAAGCAGCTGTTCAGAGAAGCTGTACACAGTTCCACATTTTGTTTGGTTTTTTAAGGAGAAAAAAACCCAAAACACATTCTCTGTGCAATGGGAAGAAGAGGGGGGGAAAAAAAAAAAAAGTAAAACACAGGAAAAAGGTTACTAAATACATAAGTGTCTATAAAATTTGCTATGTTTTGCACAACCAACAGCAGATTAGGGTAGAGCTTGCTCTGGTATGCTAACTGACAATAAATTATTTGTATATAAAATCAGTGTTTCTGTTAAATCATTTGTTATGACAGCATCATTCAGATAGCTGCATCACCAAACAAACAAGCAAAAAAGATACTTCATTTTCCCATCATATCATCTTTGTTTTTTTCTGTTCGTACCATTGAAGGAAACTATTTAGTGACAACATTACATTTATATACTTTTCAAGTAAAAACTATTTAACTGGACATTTACAGTATCCTTTGTCATTTACCTAGTGATTCATCAGGACTAGGATCAAAATTCAACCACTCTAGACTTAGAGGGTAAGCAGGCAAGATAATATCATGATGTACATAAAATGATTCCTCTTCATGATTGTAAACTGAAAAAGAATTAAAGATACACAAGCCATCAGTGGAGAGGAAAAGTGAGCAACTATAAACAGTTCTCTTCAGCAAAAGGCAGATTGTGCAAAGACTGAACTATCAAGTAGATCTAGAACATAAATTCACAGCATGTTCAGAGTTTTAGTGTAGAAGCCAGAGCCTTCAAGTACTACTAATGTCATGCCTCACAGAATCAGTCAAAACAAACAACATTCTCCTGTGTGCTTTAGATAAAGCAGTGACAAGTTCAGCAAAGCTTAGACACACTATTCCTAGCATAGGATGTTACTTTCTAAGATCTTTCAGATATTCTGTATCCACCACTTTCTACATTCATTTTACAGAAGTAGCAATTTAACAAACAAAAAAAAAAAAAAAAGAAAGAAAGAGCTCCACATGAACTCAAAGAGGAAATGAAGGTAAAAGACAAATCGTTCTGAAATCAGAGGAAGCTGAAGAAGTCAGATGACATCACCTTTGGAGGCTGTAGCTGAGATACAGGAAGAGTTTTAGTAAAGCAACAATATATTAAAGACAACATTCCCTTTAGCAGGCTATTTTTCTCCTTATAATAAAAGAATTTACTAGTTGGATAGCAGAGAAAACCCATTACTTATTTTAATAACATGGTATCATTACACACAAAAAAATCACTGCTGTTTTTAAGTGCACGTGACAGATGTTCACACACTAACTGAAGTTTTCAGTTAACTAAGTAGTCTTAATATTTAACTACAACAGGACTACCCACTGTTATAAACTGCAGCAGACGATGTTATTGTTTTATCAATTTATATTGGGAAAATAAAAATTTGTGAACACCTTCAATTCAGAAAACGCCAGATGCTGGTATCTAACGAGATGCTTTCAAACACTTTGGTCTTGCTGTTTAATTAAAACAAAATACTTCGCTATAAGTATACTACTATAAGAAAAGGCAGTTAACTTCAGCACATTTCTTGTACTGCCTGCTGCAAAAGAAGAACCTTTTACACAGTAAAACTAACCCCATCCCTACAAAATGAGGTATTCAGACCTTATTAAGGATCATCCCTTCTAAAACTAAGATAATAAAAGTGCTGATTCTTCTGCTCTTAGCTGTGGAAAGTCCATTAAAGAAGCAAGGAGAAAAAGGGAAAAAAAAAAAAAAAGAAAAACACACACATGAGAAAGCTTCCATGATATAGCAAGTGAGACTGTTCAGAAGAAAGATCCTATGTTAAGAGAATAAAAACGCCACAGTATTTCCTAAGTGTCATCAGAAGTGAAATAAGGAAAGGAGATGCTATGCAGCCTGAAAAAGGCACACTGTCCTCGACATAAAAATAACCCCACGTGAAGTACTCCAGCTCTGGAAAGCGGCTAAAGCACCACGACATAGGAAAGAGGACAAAACACACAGGGCAGATGGGGAGGAAAAAAACTTCCAAAAACCAACCCACTCCCCCTTCTACACAGCCATAGGCAAGAGGCTAGGCAAGACACACTCCCTGGGTTCGCTGTAAGGAACAAATCCTGTTACTTACCATGGACCTCCAAACTACAGTAGTCTTTATCAGCTCTGCCACAAAGGACAAGATTGTCACTGGGCTTAATTAAAAAGTCCTCCTGTTCATACTGATCCTGAACAGCAAAAAGGAAAGGACAAGGGATGTTAAGCAAAGCACACAAACACACAACTATGCATGCTCAAAGGGTTGAGTCAGTAATAATTCCCAACCATAACTGTAGACACTCAAAACCCAACACCCTGCTGCCCACCTGCCTAAAACCATCTCATGGTGGTAAACAGAGAAAAGCAGGAACCAGACTTTATCCTGGGGAGACTGAATTGTTATAGACTGAAGGACTATTTATGTGGACCTAAATGGATTTAGAGAAAAGTTTTTAACTACCAAATATGAAAACCTGTTCTGAGGCTACCACAATACAGCCCATTGCTGGAAAGAAAATCACCACCAGGAGCTGTTTTGCCAATGACCAGGCCCAACAAAAATGATAACACCAGCAGGGAGATGAACCAATATGCAGACTGTATTGTAGACAGAAATGTTACTATATGAATGACAGCTGGGGGTACAAACAAGTCAACAAGCTCATACATGATCGACACCACCCCCAACGACCCCACAAACGACATGACCCAGCCCACAACAGCTGGTACAAACAGTGAACCAAGGTTGCCCATAGTTGGCATGGGAAACAGCCAGACCAGCCAGTTAAACACGTAAGAAAAGGGTGCCGACGTGGCAACTCTCACCCGATTGACCCGCGTTCACAAAGGGCTAAACAGACCAGGGCCCAGCTCCAGGAGAGTCAGGAGGTCTGCCCTGAACCAGGAAGCTCTGTGGAGTGCACTCCACAGACAGACACTCCTGACTCCCTGCAAGTGGTCCCAGCTTTTATCCCCAAGCAGACACCTGACCTTTTTTGACTCAATGCGGGACCCCTGGGGCTCATTTCCCTTCTGGCTCTCCCTGCAGGGCCGGCCGCACCCTGGGGGGAAGCTATAAGGCAAACTCACCTCCTCTTTATGAAGGGCTGTGGGAATCACCCATATGTCAACCTTAATTTGGGGGCTCGGGGTTCAAACCCCAGCATTGCAGGAGCCTGCATCCATAGCTTATTTCCCTTGTGCTGTCATGCCTTCAGCATTTACATAGCATAACAACATTTTACTCAGTAAGCATACTATAACTGCCCCTCACATCCAGGAAGCAATTCCAAGAGGATTAAAGCATTGTCTGTTTTCTGGAAAATACTTCCAGATAAATACTGCCTACAGCTATACTGGGCATTCAGCTTTACCAGAACAGATGTAACCTCTCATCTCATTTTCATTGTTACTGAGGAATGGAAGGCATTCAGGGAATTTTTGTTCTTGGAAAACTAAGAACTGTACATAAAAGTCAATAGTCTTACAGAGAGTACCATCCTTCAAATATAAACACATACAAGACTTTTTGGACTTCTTATTGTAAGTTTTTAATTTCTTTTTTTATTCACTTCAAGGATCTTTTCAACATCTGAATTCTCTTAAGTACTGCAATTCTCTGAATTAATCAGCTTAACGTTACACAATGCTTAGCCTTTAACAGTACTATTAGTAAATGCTGAAAGACAACACAAAATGCACATTGAAGAATTCTTTCAGAATTTAAGGAAAGAACTGGATCATAGGAAGAAAGGCCACAGAAAAAAGGAGTTCAACCTCTACTATGTCTGGAAGAAAGTTAACTTTTCTGACACAGAATAAATGTAGCTCATTCTCTCTGAATCCCTGTGCAAACATCTCTTTGACTATAAAAATCACTTTTAAAGCATTTCATCCCTCTACTGGTGCACAGGAGCAAGAAAAATCCATCAGCCAGGCAGCAGAACACAGAGATGTACTGTGCCCCAAAGTGCACATAGCAAGTGAACTTGTTTTGAAGACAAGATGTATGCCTTCCTGGAGCTTTGTAACAGTGTGTGAAGTCACTGTAACAACTCCTTGTCTGAAATCACACACGTCTGACGAAGTCCCCTGACACAAAAATTAGATGCAGAAACCTACAGCTAGTCTTTTCTTTCAGTCTTACTAGCTTTCTAAGAATCCAACATAGTACAGAAAGGACAGTACACAGGAAAATCTCAGAATGTTTATGCTTAGAAGAGATCTTAAAAATTCACCTACGCCAATCATTCTGCCCCAGAAGATCACAGTCTCTCCTGGTAGCTCTCCAGATTACATGGTCTCTTCTCACACAACCTCACCTTGTAACCAACTTCTGTAATCTCTCCATGTAAATTAAGTTAATCACAAATTGCAGTCTCTCCTCCTGAACCAAACTGCAGGATATTCTCTCTGAGATATTCCAATCTTCCCATCTCTTCTGAAGAGACACCCAGTATTGCCAAGGCAATACCAACGTTCAGTAGAGGGATTACCTCATGTCCTGAATGCTGTAACCCCATTCACCAGAAAAAGCCAAACAGGCTGCATAACAGGACACCACTGCTGACACAGCCAGCTTCTGCCAGGCTGCAGCCAGAGACTTCTTCAGCCCCTGCAGAGCTCCTGCAAAGCCAGCTCCTGCAAAGATGTTCCCTCATACTTGGTGGAAACTGATACAGGCATAAGTAGTCACCAACACAATATGTTGTGCATATTTACTTGGCAGGGACGTAATTCTTCATGCTATACCCCTAATTTGACATGTAGCCCAAGTCCACCTCAGCTTGGTTTCTTCCACAAACAGATGAAGGGTGCAGGAGTCCTGCAATAAATGAAGTTTTCTAATTTGGGTTGTTAGTGGCCTGAGATTTGTTATTTCTTCAGTTATTTACTGTGTTCTGCTGTCCTGGGTTCAGCTAGGATAGGGCTAATTTTGTTATTTTCACAAGCAGCTGGGAAGGGCTCCAAACCAGCCAATGGGATATTGGATACTATACTGACTTCAGGTCCTATTACATAAGGGGGGAGCTGGCAGGGGTAAAGGTGCTCAGGCAGTGAGCAGCAGTGTTGTGTATCACTTGGTTTATATATCGTTTCATTAGTATTATTGTTACTGTTGTTTCTTCTGTCTGTGTGTTCTTCTATTAAACTGTCCTTAACTCAGTCCACGGGGTTTCACCTTTTTCTCCCAATTCTCCTTCCCAACCCACTGGGTTGGTTGGAGGGAGGACTGAGTGAGCAGCTGCGTGGTGCTTAGTTGCCAGCTGTGGTCAAACCATGACATCTAGTAGATTACTGACAAACCACTCCACATACAGAAACACTTGGTTTAAATAATGAGCCAGTCTGCCTTAACATTGGACTTAAAACTAAAAAGCACATAGAGAGGGGGCTGCACAAAGCAACCTTAAGAGTTCTATCTGATCAGAAATCTGGCACAGCTTTGGAAAAGGACTGCAAGCACCTACAGCCCCTAAGGCAGTGTGGAAAATTGAACTGCTTTTCAAGTTTATGCCGTTCAAGGTATTTAACATTTCTATAGTACTTACAGTGGTTTTTAGAGTGATGTAAGGATCATGCTCATTACTCCCATATACTGCCAGTGTAGCCAAGGAGTCTCCAAGTTTTAGGTCACCTAGATGGGAATTTCAGAACATTTTTTTTTAGATATCTATATCGATCGATCTGTATCGGTGACAGGTGAAGTTAGAAACTCCTGTACCAATAGCTATATTACCTGTATTGCAAAAAACCAGAAGTGACTAAATGAACCTCCAAGTTCCTCAGGAACCTAAATTTTTTAGTGCTTTCAGGGACTTTCACTGCTCTGCTCCAGTGCTACAGCAGAGGGAGTGACAATCTTTTCAACATGCTATCAGTTCTAGCATCAAAGGAAGGGGCACTGAATTGTTTCACTCACCAAATGATCTGTGAAACTGGGACAAGCAAATAATTAAAAATGTGGATTTCCAATATTTGAAACTTCTAGCACTGTGTAGTTTTAGGATATGTCTTAAGTACAGGAAGTGAAATGGTTCTTTGCTTAGACTGCACGTCTGACACTGAGCTTTCTCTTACCTGTGCATTCCTCTTCATCGTAATGTTCCAAATCATATTCATCCAGTTCATCATCAGACAGATCTTCATTTTTATGAGAAGACTCTGGTCTGCCAGGAAGGGCTGCATTTGTGCCACATGCTGTCTGGCCTTCATCACTACCATCAGCGCCGTCCCTGTTTGAAGACACACATCCCTGAGAAACTGTGACAGACATTCATAACGCTTCCAGCTAATTGTTTAGGAGACTGCTAACAAGTTTTCAGAAAAAAATCCTGGCTTTTCACATGGGTTTCAAGTCTTTATACCACCAGTTTGGCCACTGACTCCTTTTCTTTCTTTCCCCAGAACACGAGGCATCATTATTCTTAGGTTTCCAAATAAAGTCTTTCCTTGAAAGTTTTGATGACAAAATGCTGCACAAATTTTGCTTTGACAGAGCTAAACTGTGTATCTAAATCCCTTTCTCTTAACCTTTTTTTTTGTGGCTATAACACCCTCAACCTGCATGTTCACATGTGTCACATTCATTCCTTCCTGGATTTTGTTGGTGTTTTGGTTTGGTTTTAGTTTTGGTTTTTTGTTTTTTTTTCCCCCACCCATGGACCTTGTCACATGTGATGACACTTGCATTTCTCCAAGATTTTTAAGACCTCATTTCCTCAGACTTCCTGTAATTCCATTAGAAGAAAGAACACCACACAATTCGTTAGGTAGGGACATATTGTGGATTCTCCCTATGGGGTAAACTACGAAACATCTAGCAGACACGGAACTTTCATGGTAACAATTCCACATGCAAGGAATGCAGTAGAAGGAAACCTACATTAAACATTGGCTGAGGACCTAACAGATATCTGAGGTGTCTCAATGGAGCACGAGTTCCATAGGAACTTGTCCCTGCTGAATACCCTGTTTCTGTCCTTCTGCTTGCAAAATTTGCAGGCGACAACGCGCCAACACAGTTCGCAGAGTGACTTCTAAATTAAATATCAGAAACCTATTTTTATACTTTATTCAGTAAAATAAAGACTTCAGACCACCAGTTTCTCCCTGTGTAAAAACTGGTAACAAGATCATGACTCTAAATCGGAGTCCGATTCGTGATCTTCGCACAGGAAAAAATGTGATTGATGTTGTAACAAATTCTACAAAGTATCAGACATTATAAAGAGATCATAACACTTTTGGTTGTTACAGATGGTCTTTAAATGTCCATCCTGCAGTTGCACAGAATGTACATCTCACACCCAGCATCCACTTTTTCACACAGTCAGTTTACCGTCAGTTTACCACATCTCCAAAGCACCCATGGTTACAAACCCAACTTCTTATTTCCTCATTCGAGGCAGGAATGGCAATTCCAGTGAAGACCGGGTGCTGAGCAGGTCTCTGCGGGCTTCACCCGAGTTTGATAGTACACAGCTGACAACGGAAGAGCCGAATGGGAGCACAACCCGTGGCTGCCACACCCACGACGCAATGGGGATATGCTCCATCAGATGCTTCACCCTTCGCTCTCCGGACAAACGAGCCCCCCAGGACGCCGGGCTCTCCTGACACGGTCGCTTCAGGAGGATCGTGTGCAGGCCGGTCCCGATCTCCATAGCTCGCTGCTGCTTCCCAAGC